CAATTTTCTCTCAATTCCCTTTTCTCAAACTCTACTTCTCCTCTCTTAACATATACATAAGGTCTCTCTAGTCATGGACCCACCATACTTCTCCTATAATTCGGGAAATCTCAAAAATATATAAACACCGAACGCTGTATAAAATTATTTATACACACACACACACACACACACACACACACACACACACACACACACACACACACACACACACACATGCATAATGCAACAGAAAATCAATTGAAATTCACCTAAATTTTACGCGTGAAAAAAAAGAGGGGAAAAAAAAGTACCAGATCGAACAACCGGACAGCTCCTCTTACATTCCTGCCGGCACTTCTTCGGCTTGCAGCGGTCCGGGTTGACAATAGCAATACGGGGCAAACGATCGTTAGGCATATTCGTTGGATCAAATTGAACAAACGTTCGAAGAAGCGATCGACGGTTAAACACGGCGGAGGAGAAGATGGAGATGAGAAGACGACGACGGAGAAAACCCTAGAAGAAAAGGAGTTGATAAAATTGTGAGATAGGAGAATTCTCTGTAACGCGTATATTGTGGCGAAGGGGGCGGTTGCGAATAAACGTGTGTATCAAGTAACAATAAATAAAAGACGAGGATTGGTCTCGGCTAACTTAAATTATTATAACATTGGGATTATTTCACAAAACTCCCTCGTCACAAAAGTTCAATTACAATGAGCCCAAATTTATTTCTTATTTTTAAGAAAATCCAAATATCTTTTATTAATAAAAATTAATTAATTTTCACAATTATACCCTTACCTTATTATAAGGTATGTTAGGGTTGAATATAAATATACTTAATATCCTTTTAATTAATATCACGTTTTCAATCCATCACTTTTTTTCTCTCTAGATTTTATTTTCTTTTTTCTTCTTTTCTATTCACCGTTGCAGATGTCCTTTCGTTCACCTCTTCTTCTCTCCCACCGGTGCTGCCCCAACCCCCATCCGGCGATGCCCCAACCGCCGCATAGCCGCCGCCCAGCCGCCTCAGCCCCGCCCGACACTTCCCCAACCGCCGCATAGCCGCCGCCCAGCCGCCTCAGCCCCGCCCGGCACCACCCCAGCACTCGAACAGAACCAGATCCGAGTCCAGATAGTTGACCCGTTCCACGCACGGGTCGATAATGTCACCCAGGTAATTCCGGGCGTAGTTCAGCGGGTTCTCCAGAGCGGACCGGACCGAGGAGGAGATTAGGTTTATGACGGTGTCCTCTCGGAAGATGTAGACCTTGAATAGTGAATTTATGTTTTTTTTTTAGTTGTGTTAGTAGTGGATTTACGTATGTTTTTAGTGGATTTCGATAACTTTGTTGTTGATTACTTTATTATTAAAGTGGATTACGTTAATTTTTCGTAATATAATTGGGCTTGCATTTTTTTCTTGGACATAATAGTGGTTTACGTTTCAAATAACGAGAAGAAGATGATTACACGGACTATGCTCTAGGGTTCATTGGAGAGAAGATGGTGTCTTTTATAGTGGGTTTATAGATTCTTTATAGATTCTTTTTCGCAGAATTTTGATGTTTAATTGTTAGAATTCATAGTGGTTTTCGATGTTTATATAATTGTGTATATATATAGCAGTTTTCATGTTTATATAGCTATTTTATGCAGAGTGGTTTTCATGTTTATATAGACGTTTTCATAGAGTGGTTTTCAAAGTTATAGCGGATATCGAAATTTATAGTGGATTACACTTTGATAAATCGGCTGGATGTTTTTTTAAATATTAAACTAATAAAAATCAATCGAATTAAAAAAAATAATAAAAAAATAATTAAACAAGATATTTTTTATTCAAGAAAAGTGGGAAAAAAATCATTTAAAAAAAACCGAAATTAAGAAAAAAACTATTAAAAATGAAAATAAAAATAAAACTATTTTTTAAAAATTCAAAATAAAAAACATGAAATATAAATAAGAAAAAAATAATTTAAATTTAAAAAACCAAAAAAAAAAAATTACAAAATAAAAGAAAACCGTTAAAAAAAAGAAAAGGAAAAATAGAATTTGAAATGGCGTAATATAGGAGATATTAAGGGGATTAGCATATTTAAAAAAATAATTAATTTTCCTTAATAATAAATGGGGGTATTTTGGATAATTCATGTCAATTGGATTTATAACAAATATCAATAAATAAAAATGGATTTATCATTAAGTACAAATGGAATGAGGGGTGTTTGTCATATTGCCCCTATAATATTACCATAAATAATTTTTTTTAATATTTTAATTATTAGTTATATTTAGTAAAATCTTTAAATTTACCTATTGTTCTAAAAATTTATGATTTTCTTCAATTAATACTGGGTATATTACAGAAAATGCCCTTAAACTTAGGCTAAATTACAAAAAACCCTAGCTATCCGTAATTATCAAAATTCCTCGGACAATTGTTCCACTATTACACCAACTCCCTTCCGATGTGATTCTTCACGAAATAGTTTTTATTTTAGAGAATATTCCCGAAAAATGTCCACTCTACCCTTGCAGACGTGACATTTATTTATGCTACTTTTGAGAAATTAAAAAGTACCCTATGAGGGCCTTTAAACAGAATATTTATTCTTCTTATAATGAGCCATTCATAATTTTTTAGTGTTATCATTACCTATTTGAGCGTAATTTTTACCTTTAAAAAGTAGCATAAAAGAAATTTCACGTCTACAGAGGTATAATTGGCATTTTTCGGGAAATATTCCTCAGACTCAAAAAGATTCCGTGAAAAATTGGCGTAAGATGGAAACAAACATTGGGGGATTTTAGTAATTACGGATACATGGGAGCATTTTTTTTGTAATTTAGTCTACGTTCGGGGGTTCATAATGTACCCATTAATATTACTTTAATATCATCAATTAACAAATTATATATTGTTACTTTGAATTCCTCTTTCTGACCTGAAAATTCTAAAAATTGGTGAAATAAGCTTTCGAATTTACTAAAAAAAAAAATGTTTTCGAATTACAATTTATGCATCAATTATTATATAAAGTATAAACACTAAAATATTTATTTTCATTTTCTAGTTCTAATAACTCTAACTAAGGAGTTATTACATATTCGGATTTTGTCACACTACAACAATTAATCATCTATTTCAAAGCAGCAAGAACAATTAAATGTGCTAAACAACTATTTCAGCTAACTATTCCATCTAAAAGCAGTAAAGAACATCCAAACTCGTCACACTATTTTCGAACGAGGCTTTTTTAGCAAAGTAGAAAAATGAAAAATCGTTCGGTAACTAGCAATTTCACGAGATATTAATCAGCCACGATCAACCACTAGAGTTGTGGGCAAGGTTGCATAACTTTTTTTTCGTGTGTGTGTGTTAATTACCGCTGTTTTTGGTACATCCTTCGGAACATTCTAGAACCTTCTGATTCCGCGTGTATCTCTCGCTCTGTCCTGATTCCCATTGGATTGTTTATCAACCAACCCTCATTGTCACATACCATATTAGGATCGACAGTGTCGATATGTACAAGCTTTTCTGACTCAGCATCAAAGTAGTCCCTCATATCAAGCGCCACATCAGCAATATCCGATTGTACGAAGATCTAAAGAAAAAAACAAATTGCATTTTAAAGATAATTGTACAATCAATGTCGAAAGTTATATAAGTCGAGTGCAGCTTACAATCCGAACTCAATTATTCATTAGAACATCTAACAATGTCTGCATAAAAAGATACTAATGAAATTGAAGAAAAACCAAACGAATGTAACATCTGATCAATCGATTCATCAAACCCTGTATCCAATTCGTATGTTAAAATCCTTTCGATAATTCGTCTTACGTAAAAAACACGAGCTTGTGTACATATATAAAAATATACCTGTCCTCCAGGAACTAAGCCTCGTACGATCGACTCTACAAGAGGCTTCTGCACTACCCTTCGTTTATGATGTTTTTTCTTGAAATGAGGGTCTGGACACTACCGACAAATACGCGTTATCTTCCAACGGGATAAATAATTTGCTCTTAAATTTTTTTTTTTTCCATTTTTGTAAAACAAAAGGCACTCACCAAAATAGATACTAAAATCAAGGGACCGGGATATGTAGACACAAGTTGTTCGAATGAGACCGTTGCATTGGCAAAAATGAAGTGTCTGCATTTTGCGCACACACAATCAAACCTTCGATTCTAATGACTTGTCGAAATCATCAAGACAAAAGGATAAGTTATTTTGAGTCCTTACATATTCTTTAGAGCCAGCTCGTTTACCCAATGCTCAGCTCGTGTGACGAGCTGCATAATTAAGTAAAAGAAAAATGTTACATAAAACTGAAATCTAAATTTGTTTTTAAGCGTATTTATGATAATTTTACATACTTTAGGGCGTATTTCCAATCCGAGATAATTTCTTGATGCGGGATTGTTTTTAGCTAGCCACAAGAGAAATCTACCGCTACCTGGAATTAGCAACATTTTTCGATAACAAAATTAAATTGACAAATTCAAATTTACATGCTAGGGTACACTATAACATAATACTCAGTTACATGTATATGGTTTTAAATTGCATAAGTCACATCAAATAGAAGTAGGGGTGGAAATTGGAACGAAATTTCGCAGCGGCCGATTCTAATCCGAAACTTTCCGATTTTGTAACAGTGATTTTCATTCCGAATTCCAAAAACTCCTGCGTTTTATATTTTAGGTGACACGAAAAATTGGAATTTTGAGAATTCGCCAATTCCCGATTTTGGAACAGTGATTTTCATTCTAATTTCTGATTTTGTTTAACCGGAATTGGGATTAATTTTTCACTACCTAAAAAAATCGGAATTTTCACAAAAGAGTTAATTCTGATCCGACGAGTCCGATTTCAAATTATTCCGATTTTGTTTAACCGGAATTGGAATTAATGTTTCACTACCTAAAAAAATCGGAATTTTTACGAAAGAGTTAATTCCGATCTGACCGGTCCAATTTCCACCCTTGGATTGTCAAGTGAAGTAAATAAGCTCTTACCACTACCGATATCGACCATCAATGGCAGCGTGGCATCCTCGTAAACAGCATTCCAGTCCGGCGGTTCCACCGGAATCTACACACAGAAATAAATAAGTCCTATAATTATATATGCAAAAATATAAATTGAAATTTCGAAATAGAATTTACCATAAGAGTTGAACGGAGGGGATTAACATGCTGCCGGATTCGAACATGGCCCACTTCCTACATTACATCGTCTGAATTAAAATTCACAAAATTGATTGAAAAATGAAAAATCGGAAGGGAAAAAAATTGCTTTACCTCGCAGAATTTGTCGGAGAGATTGAGGTCGGCGTATTGTCGGGCGACGAGTTCTGGACTTCTAATTTCTTCTCTTTCTGATGAGGGCAAGGCAGAATACGCCGCCGCCGCCGCCGTACGGCGGCGGAAAGTGTAGAATGGCAACTTTAACGGCGGCGATCTGATGATGGTGGGGCGAAGAAAAATAGGTATGGCGCACGAAATGCAGCCCATCGGAATTCGAAGTTTCACCGCCGCTGCAATCGGATGAATGAAACAAGTTGATAAGCAAAGCAGAATATCCTTTGAATAAAAATGAAAAATTAAATATTGGGGAAAATTGCACTTTAAACCCTAATTTCAATTTGTAAGGAGATTTGTAACTTTCTAAGTCGGGGTGGCAAACGAGTTGAGTCGGCTTGTGTACTCGACGAATCGACTCGACAAAAGGTCGAACTCGAGCTAGAGTTTTTCGAGCTCAAGTTCACGAGTTTCAGACAAGCTCGAGATCGATATTGATTATAGTTGTTCGACAGCTCGCGACCTGATTCACGAGCTTTTTATTTATATATTTTCTTATTTTATTTTATATATTATATTATTATTATTATTATTATTATTATTATTATTATTATTATTATTATTATTATTATTATTATTATTATTATTATTATTATTATTATTATTATTATTAGAAAACTAGAATTATTTTATTAATGAGCTAATTTAAAGCCGACGTCACCGAAACTCATGCGAGTTTGAGTTCGAGTTAGAAAATCTCAACTCGTCGAGCTCGAGTTCGAGCCTTCCAAGTTCCAACACAGGAGATCTCAGCTCAAAGTGGGTGTATTTGACATCTCAGACAATATGTGTTTTTTTCTTTAATTTTATAAATTTATAATTAAGGAAGTACTAATTAATTGTAAAGAAAAATATTAACTAAGGGGTAAAAGGTAATATTAAAAAAAAAAATACTCAAATATAATTATACTAAAGAAGGAAATTCAGATTTTAATAATTACATTGAAGGATACAAAATCTAATAGTATCAGTAAACTCGTCAAAAATAATTAAGTGATCAACAATTTGGAAAGATTCTACGATAGTTAATTTGATTTAATTAACTCGGTCATATGACTTGGCATAAAAACTTTCCTAATTGTTGACAATACGACGTCGTTTCCTTAATTTGAATACGACTTCAGCAAGTTACCTTATTCCGACTATACATACACTAATATATACATGTATATGTATACAAATATAAATACATGCAAAACCCCATCGATCTCCACTTTAACAAACCCAATTACTCTCTCTCTCTCTCTCTCTCTCAAATTCAGAATTCAAAACCCAAATTCAACTCGACGATGAAGATCGTTCAAGAAATCGATTTCTGGGATGATCAAAACCCGAAAAGATTAATTCTTTTCAGAAGTAATCTTCCTTTTCTTGAAGAAATTGATTTCTGGGTTGATGAAAAAACCCCCACAAAAAATCATCGCCTTGAAGAAGAAGAAGATGAAATCTTGTTTCTTGATCAGATTAATAATTCAAAAACTAGGGTTTGTTCTTCTTGTTCTTCCTCTTCTTGGAAGAGGGACCGTAGTTCTATTACTACTGCTGATCAAGAAACTGATCAACATGATCAGATGAATAAGAAGCGAAAAATCTCGAGTTTCCGATTGTTCGGGGCTGACATCATTACTGGGATTAGCGACGTAATTAGTGATAATTACGATGATTACGATGATGACTGGGAGAGAAGAAGGAAGGCGAAGGGAAAAGAAAAAGTTGTCGAAGAATTAGAATTAGAAAAAGTTTATGATGATTCGCGGAAGATCTTTAATCCGATTTTATCTAATAATCCGATGTTATTCGAAGAAGATGGTTGCAATAATTCGCAAGCTCTCGTAATCTACAAGCCGAGGGCTACTAATAACAAGGACAAGAAAAAATCGCAACCGATTCCGAGAAAATCAAAAAAGAAACTATCTACGAAAGAACAAGAGCCTCCGGCTCCACTTCCGCCACCGATGCAGCGGAGGATCCATGATCGAGGAGGATCCGAGCCAGTTTTCTTGTTCCAAAAGGATTTGACATGTTCGGATGTGGCTCCGAATCTGAACCGGGTATTCATTAACCGGAGTGAGAAGCTGATGGAGGCTCTGACGGAGGAAGAACGGAGAATGGTGAATAACGAAGATTACTATTCGGGGCTTAGGGTTTTTACAACGAACCAGCATGCGGAGGATCGGGATTACGAAATGGAGTTAACGAAGTGGAATGTGGGTTCGTATATGATTGTTCTGAAAAGGGAATGGATGAAGTTTGTTAGGGCTAACAATTTGCAGGAGGGCGATCGAGTCGAAGGTTGGGGGTTTCGTGTACAAGGAGTGTTTTATTTGGGTCTTAATGCAATTATCAGGAATTAGTAATTGCATGATTATTAATTTCTGGCAATAATTAATTATATTGCAATTGGGACTGTGATCAAATAGGCATATGTTATATTGGAGTAGTATTATTTGATCATAGGACATATGGTTTTTATTGCAGTATTTAGCTGTTTAATTATTTTTTGTCTGTTTTATTAATTTCTTTTGTAGATTTTTTGAGTAAATAATTTCTTCTGTAGATTTGTTTTAACAATTTTTATTTAAAAGTCGGCGTACAGTAATAATATATCTATATAAGAAAATTAATATGTGGAACACAAATTAAGGAAAAGAAATGACTCAATTTATTTTATATTATAGTTATTTTAACAAACACAGCAAATTAAATTTCATAATTAATAATGTCCGATAATGAATATTAATTATTAATTAATAGTTATACATGCAATGAAAATTGAAACATTATTATTACCTCTTGACAAATTAGAGAAAAATAAATGACTCAATTTATTTGATTTGATTAATAATATAAGCGCTGCAAAATAAATCAAGGGACTGGGATATGTAGACACAAGTTGTTCGAACGAGACCGTTTGCATTGGCACAAATGAAGTGTCTGCATTTTTCGATTCTAATGACTTGTCGAAAAATGTTCCAAGTATATAAAACTGGAATCTAAATTTGTTTAAAGCGTGTATATGTTAATTTTACATAGTTTTGGGCATATTTCCGATCCGAGATAATTTCTTGATGCGGGATTATTTTTAGTTAGCAATGGGCATATATAACAAAATCAATTGACAAATTCAAATTTACATGCGAGGGTAAACTATAGTTACATGTATATGGTTTTAAATTGCATAAGTCACATAACGTAGAAGTAGGGGTGGAAACTGGAACCGAATTTACATGCGAGGGTAAACTATAGTTACATGTATATGGCTTCCGCCGACTTTGATCCGAAACTTTCCGATTTTGTTTAACCGGGATTGAAATTAATGTTTCACTACCTAAAAAATCGAAATTTTCACAAAAGAGTTAATTCTGATTCGACTAGTCCGATTTTGTTTTAACCAGAATCGGAATTAAGTTTTCACTACCTAAGAAATCAATATTATTCTAAAAACAATTCCAATATGAAAAATTCAAATGCTAACTTTTTTTTTTTTATCTAATCACGGTGGAGCTGAGGTACCTCCTCATCGCTGCTGCTGCCATCTGCTCGTGCATCACCGAGAGGCTCTAGCGGCGTGTCACGACCCGCTAGTTTTGGCCCAACCCCTTGCCAGTTTCCCTTGGGTTGGGAGGTTAAGAAGCCCAAGATTTAACCCAAATAGGGTTAGGCCCAAATGGCCCTAATGTTAGAGAAGTAGAGATTCTTGGAGGATTCTAGAAAATATTCTAGAACCCCCCTTGTAGATATTTTGTAGGAATTCTTTGGAGTGTTCTAGTGAACCACTCCCAACCGTTAGATCAAATAGATCTCCACCGTCCATTAAGGAGGTGGTCTAGTATAAATAGAGGTAGGGTCCTCATTTGTAACCATCCAACAAGAATCCAAGAAATTCAACAAGCACTTAAGCAATAAAAGTACTTTCCTACAAACTCTCTTATCTTCTTAAGTTCTTCCTTCGTTTCCATCACTTAGCATTCGCAACACATTCGGGAGAGGCTGACTTAGCTACGCGAGGGGCGAAAAGGAGCTAAGGGAACAAGTCCGTGACAAGTGGTATCAGAGCCCGGCTTAGGGCTTAGTGTTGAACGAATTCTCAAGCGATGACGAACGTTGAAGATATTTCGTACGTAACCGAGGGACGTGGCAGGGAGGCCCAAGTAAACAACAAGAAAAAGAGGGACCACAACAAGGCTCGTGGGGAGAGTACCGTTAATGAGGCGGTGCTAACGGATCATGGCGAAAGACTCGAGAGGCTCGAGAATAACGTCGCCATAGCGGAGCTTAGCGAAAGATTCGAGAAGCTGGAGCACGATGCGGAAGTGTTGGAGAATCACGTCGCCGAGTAACTCGATTTGTTTAGAGACAATGAGACGTTGCGGGAGGAAGGATTGGATCGATTGGAGGCCATCATCCAATCCCTACAAGAGAGCATCGAGGGGATGCGCGACGACTTGGCCTTGTGCAAAAAGGCCGCCGCTAACGGGAGCGTTAGCGTTACTTCAAGTCCAAGGGTGGACTGCCCGAAGCCAACGGGATTCAACGGCGTAAGGGACGCCAAGGAAGTTGAGAACTTCCTATGGAGGATGGAGCAATACTTTGAGGGTATCGGTCTAGTCGACGAGACGACTAAGGTAAGAACTGCTTCCCTTTATCTTTCCGATACGGCTACGTTATGGTGGCGTAGAAAATACGCCGATATCGAGAAAGGCATTTGCCGAATCGATACTTGGGAAGAGTTCAAGAGGGAACTCAAGCGACACTTCTACCCGGAGAACGTCGTTTATGAGGCTCGAAGAAAGTTGAGGGAACTCAAGCAACGAAGTTCAATCCGCGAGTACGTGAAGGAGTTCACCACCCTCACCCTTCAAATTCCCAACCTTTCCGAGGAGGATCTCCTTTTCCACTTCACCGATAAGTTACAAGGCTGGGCCAAGCAAGAACTCCACCGACGAGACATCAAATCCGTCGATGAAGCTATTGCCGCCGCCGAGTTTTTAACCGAGTATCAACCGAGAGATCCGTTGCGGAAAGAGAAGTGGAACCCGACTAAAGGCGGGGGAGAGAGACGGGACAATCATGGTCGGGACCATCGAGACAACCGAGACCCACGGCGAGCGTCAACCTCGAGGGGAGGAGACAAGCCATCCTCACGCCAACAATTGGAAAAGAAGAAAAGGTCATTTGTGCCTAAGGGAGGATGCTTCGTGTGCAGGGGCCGCACGCGATGAGTCAATGTCCCAAGATGGGGTCATTGTCGGCACTCTTACAACAACAAGAGGCCGAGCAAGGCACAAACGAGGGGCTAGGCAACATGGGATCGCTCCAACTTCTTAACGCCTTAAAGGCTAATCCGATGCCGTCAACATCAAGCAAGGGGCTGATGTACGTGGAGGCCCGCATAAACGGTACCCCAGCAGAGGTGATGGTGGACACCGGAGCGACCCACAATTTCATCACCGAGGACGAGGCCAAGAGGGTTGGCCTACGGTGGACCAAACAGGATGGTTGGCTCAAAGCCGTAAACGCTAAGGCACAACCGCTCAACGGTGTAGCACGAGACGCGGAGCTACACTTAAGCACTTGGAAGGAACAAGTGGATTTCTTGGTAGCACTGATGGATGATTTCAAGGTGGTGCTAGGCATGGATTTCTTCCGCAAGGTAATGGCTATCCCGATGCCTTATTTCAATTCCGTGTGTATCTTAGAAAAGGGAACACCTTGCATGGTGCCGGCCACCAACGGCACCACAACGGAAGAAAGGACGCAACCAAGGCAACTGTCAGCCATGCAAGTTGCCAAGGGAGTTCGACGGGGCGAGTCGAACATTTGTAGCCACTTTGAAGGAGGATAGCACGCCCGTCAACAAAGAAGAGGACGTACCACCGATCATCCAAACCGTCTTGGAAGCCAGCCAAGACTTGATGCCATCGACTTTACCCAATAAGCTTCCACCTAGGAGGGAGGTGGACCACGCTATCGAGTTAGAACCGGGAGCCAAGCCACCCGCCATGGCTCCCTATCGCATGTCACCGCCGGATCTTGAACAGCTCCGAAAGAAACTTAACGTCTTGGAGTATAAGCCGGGGAAGGCGAATGTTGTAGCCGACGCATTAAGTAGAAAGGCCGAACTCGCAGCTATTAGCTCAACCAGGGGGAACTTGGCCGACATGATCCGATAAGGGCTCGAACATGACCCAATGGCCAATGAGCTAATCCGACTCGTCAAGGAGGGCAAGACGAGGCAATTTTGGTAGAGGACGGCCTACTCTACATGAAGGGACAACGACTCTTCGTTCCGAAGTGGGGCAGCTTGAGGAAGGACCTCATAAAGGAATGCCACGACACCAAGTGGGCGGGGCATCCGGGCCAAAGGCGGACAATGGCGTTGCTCGAGACGGCCTACTTTTGGCCTCACATGCAGGACAATGTCGATGCATATGTGAAGACTCGCCTTGTGTGCCAACAAGACAAGGTGGAGAATAAACAACCGGCAGGGTTACTTGAGCCACTCCCGATCCCCGAGCGACCATGGGAGTCGATCTCAATGGACTTCATTAGTGCATTGCCGACGTCCGAGGGGGCCGGATCTATTATGGTGGTGATAGATCGCTTTTCAAAATACAGAACGTTCGTAGCTTGCCCAAGGGATTGCACCGCGGAGGAGGCAACCCGGTTCTTTTTCAAGAACGTCGTCAAGTATTGGGGATTGCCGAGGAGCATTATAAGTGATCGAGACGATTATGGACGGAGCTTTTCAAGCTTTTGGGGTCCGAACTTTGCTTCTCGACGAGTTTCCACCCCCAAACCGACGGGCAGACAGAGAGGGTGAACGCCCTACTCGAGTGCTACTTGCGGCACTTCGTGGGAGCCAATCAAAAAGATTGGGCAAAACTCCTCGACGTGGCTCAATTTTCTTACAACTTGCAGCGGAGTGAAGCCACGGGGAGGAGTCCTTTTGAGCTTGCAACGGGACAACAGCCGCTTACGCCACACACTTTGGCTACGGCAACCGACGGACGGAGTCCCGGAGCATTTAAAATGGCTAAGTCGTGGGAGGAACAAGCCGACTTAGCTCGGGCGTGCCTTTAGAAGGCTAGGCGGCGAATGTAGAAATGGGCGGACAACAAACGACGACCACGGGAATTTGACGTTGGGGTCCAAGTGATGGTGAAACTATTACCCCAACAGTTCAAGGCATTGCGGAGCATGCACAAGGGTCTTGTGCGGAGGTACGAAGGACCATTCCTGGTGATCGCCAAAGTCGGCAAAGTTTTGTATCGCCTAGAACTTCCAAGTTGTTTGAAAATCCATCCGGTCTTCCATGTGAGTATGTTGAAGCCGTATCACGAAGACAAGGAAGACCCGAGCCGAGGAGAGTCACACCGAGCACCACCAATCATGACTAAGTCATATGATAAGGAGATCGAGGAAGTGCTTGGCCGACAATTGAAGCGACGTAGGGGAGTTCCACCGAGTATTCAATACCTCATCAAATGGAAGGGATTACCCGAGCCCGAGGCAACGTGGGAGACTAAGGAAGACTTGTGGCAATTTCAAGATCGTCTCCACTTGTTCGAGGCAACGAGGACGTCACCGGATTAGGCGGGGAGGATGTCACGGCCCGCTAGTTTTGGCCCAACCCCTTGCCAGTTTCCGTTGGGTTGGGAGGTTAAGAAGCCCAAGATTTAACCCAAATAGGGTTAGGCCCAAATGGCCCAAATATTAGAGAAGTAGAGATTCTTGGAGGATTCTAGAAAATATTCTAGAACCCTCCCTTGTAGATATTTTGTAGGAATTCTTTGGAGTGTTCTAGTGAACCACTCCCAACCGTTAGATCAAATAGATCTCCACCGTCCATTAAGGAGGTGGTCTAGTATAAATAGAGGTAGGGTCCTCATTTGCAACCATGCATCCAACAAGAATCCGGGAAATCCAACAAGCACTTAAGCAATAAAAGTACTTTCCTACAAACTCTCTTATCTTCTTAAGTTCTTCCTTCGTTTCCATGCATTCGCAACACATTCGGGAGAGGCTGACTTAGCTATCGCGAGGGGCGAAAAGGAGCTAAGGCCGCATGGTTCGTTGTTAAGGGAACAAGTCCGTGACAGGCGGCTAACAAAATGAAACTGAAGAGAATTGGCCCTCCTATAGCACTTGAATCATTTTGCGTTGGTGGCGGCATGCAACCTCGGCCTCTTGAGAAACTGATCGATAGACCTCCGATACAATAAGCGCGGCCATGAAACCGCCTAATGCGGCGGGAAAAAGTGGGACTTGCACCGAAAGCGGTACAAAGATAAAGGATAATGGATTAATTAGGTCCTTAATTAACCAACTGAGATTTAAATTAACCAACTGAGATTTTTATAACTACAATAACAAATTAATTGAATTTGTGGGTCTTGACCACGTGTGTTAATTCTAAACTTATATGAGATATGTATTAATCACCATTAATTTTCTAACATTAAATCTGGACCCTAGGAAAATAACATGGCATATGTTCTAAAAAATAAAGTACTTTACCAAATTATCCTTCGATTTTTTTTTTATTAAATTAATATAAAATTAATTAACATTGAATTGTCTAATTTACCCCCTACTATATTTTAATTAAATAATTAATTTAAATTCATTGTGACCGAGTTTTATTTGATAAATAATCGAAAAAAATGCATTCATTAGGGATAGAACTTGGGACATCTTAATACATTCATTACTCCTAACCATCCAAGCACATTAACTTTGTCATAAAAAATAATAAGCTCAAGTCCTTTCAATTTGTAAACATTATTCAAATATTTGAATCAATTAATTAGCGCGCTCAACTATTGACAATAACGTCTTAATCAAATTAACTATTATTAATTAAAGTGTAATACATTTTTAATTCAATTTTATCATAAAAAAATAATTCCTAAATTATCTAAGAATCAAATCATAAGATTAATTAAAGCGTATGATTTGAATCAATTAAGCGCAAATCCTTTTAATTTGTAAATATTATTCAAAAATTTGAATCGATTAAGTTCAACCACTGACAAGAACAACGTATTAACCGAGTTAACTATTTATAATTAAAGTCTACTATCCTTTTAATTCAATTTTAACAAAAAAATAATAATTTCATTTGTAAAATCGTAAGAATCAAATCGTAAATCGTAAGATTTAATCTAACCATGAACCGATTAAATCTTACGATTTTTACGAATTAAACTTTATTATTTTTTATGATAAACTTCAATAAAAAAAGATACTAAACTTTAACTAAACATAGTTTGATTAATACGCTATTGTAAATTATTGAGTTTAACCGATTTAAATATTTGAATATTGTCTACGAATTGAAATGAGTTGAGCTTAATCGATCAAATCTTTGAATATTGAATTGAAAACACATGAGTTTAATTGATTCAAATATTACGATTTAATTAAATGTTACAATTGACGATGCAATTCCAACTTCAATTCTTTCGAAATTCATTTTTAAATTACACGAGTTGATCAGCATTTCCTTAGACTTTTAAAATATATTATATAAAGATTTGTTAGTATGGGATATTATTAATATATAATAATAATTATATGAGAATTAATAATTTATTTAACATTATTTATATATGTTTTATAACCATAATAAATATTTGTTTTGTGATATATATCTGTATTATTAGTTTATTGTCAATTATGTGCTTTGTCTTAATGGTAAGTATTCTTGTATATTTTTGGATGGTCACAAGTTCGAATTCAGGTTGATGCAATTTTGGATGGGTGGTTTAATAATTTTTATGAATAATAATATAATTGACTTTATAAATTTTAATTCAACAATAAATATAGATTTAAAATTGCATTAAAATAGAGAGGGTAAAATCGACATTTCATTAATAATTTATAATTGCCGATTATTTTAAAATAATTATTGTACAAAGGGTATTTGCGACAATACATAAATGAGGAAAAAATAAGTTTTTTTGCTGGGACACGTGTCGCAAGTTGAAGGGGGTATCTTATATAAGTTTAGAACATATGATCTCATGGTAGAAACATCCTGAATTTGTTGGGGTCATTTCGTGCTAAAATAAATGGGTTTTAAATCATTTTAATTGTTTTCAGATTTTATTTATTTTCATTTCTTATTTGAGGGTAAATTTCACTTTTTTCCCTTATACTTTGGCTCGTTATCACTTTAACCCATTGTACTCTCGATTGCATCGATTTTTGCCCC